AACTAAAAGGTGTCTCAAAACTTTTCCCCTGTATTAGATCATGTTCTCAATTTCCTTCTTTTTCAATTTTTATTGTCATTTTCTAAATATTTCTGTTATAATCTAGTCTGCACCATTCCAAAGCTATTCTGTGTCTCCTGCAAAGTTCAATGCCCCTACAAAGATGCCCTCCTCAGGGCTGTTCATCCACTGCTAACTGCACAGACTGACTTGCATTCTGAGGTGTAGAACTCCCTTGACTGACAGAGGAATGTATGGTGAGGAGCTTCACTGGAAAGTTGCATCTCTAGATGGCAGAATGGGCAGAAATCTCAAAATAACTGTGAGGGAGTGATGTCTTAAAGGGGTCTCTGATCATCTAGTCACACTGCCTTTTCATTCCCAGCATGGCAAATGAAGTGCAACTCCATTTGAGCTGACAAAACGGATGAGACCGATCTCATCCCCTGCTAAACATCATGAGTGCAGACATCTGTGTTATAAAGTCTGGTTATAAAGGTGAAATCTATTTTAAGAGTAACTTTGGGCAAGAAGTAAAAAGCTTCCAAACTTCCACAATTTCATTTTTTTTATCAATTTGATTTCTTTCTTTCTGTTTTTATTGGCAACACTATGTGATGCACTACAGCATTTACTCTCCTTATGCGTCTATAATATAGATAGATACAAGGCTTTTGATACCATCCCTCACAACATCCTCTTAGGCAAGCTTCGGAAGTGTGGGATAGATGAGTGGACAGTGAGGTGAATTAGGAATTGGCTGGATAGCAGAGCTCAGAGGGTGGTGATCAGTGGTGCAGAGTCTAGTTGGAGGCCTGTAGCTAGCGGGGTCCCCCAGGGGTCAGTCCTTGGTCCAGTCCTGTTCAATTTATTCATCAATGACCTGGATGAAGGCACAGAGTGCTCCCTCAGCAAGTTTGCTGATGATACCAAACTGGGAGGAGTAGCTGATACCCCAGAGGGCTGCGCTGCCATCCAGAGGGACCTGGACACACTGGACAACTGGGCGGTGAAAAACCTCATGCAATTCAACAAGGCCAAGTGCAAGATTCTGCACCTGGGGAGGAATAACCCCAGACACCAGTACAGGCTGGGAAATGATCTTCTGGAGAGCAGCTCTGCAGAGAAAGACCTGGGTGTCATGGTGGACGACAAGCTGACCATGAGGCAGCAGTGTGCCCTCGTGGCCAAGAAGGCCAAAGGGATCCTGGGGTGTGTTAAGAAGAGCATCAACAGCAGGTCAAGGGAGGTGATCCTGCCCCTCTACTCAGCCCTGGTGAGGCCACATCTGGAGTATTGTGTCCAGTTCTGGGCTCCACAGTACAAGAAGGATGCGAAGCTGCTGGAGAGAGTCTAGCACAGGGCTACAAGGATGATCAGGGGCCTGGAACATCTGCCCTATGAGGAGAGACTGAGGGAGCTGGGCCTGTTCAGCCTGGAGAAGAGAAGGCTGAGAGAAGATCTGATGAGTGTATATAAGTACCTCAAGGGAGGCAGTGAGGACAATGGTGCTGGGCTCTTTTCAGTGGTGGCCACCGACAGAACTAGAGGAAATGGCCAGAAACTAAAGCATCAGAAGTTCCACAGGATCTTAAGGAAAAATTTATTAACAGTGAGGGTGACAGAGCGCTGGAACAGGTTGCCCAGACAGTTTGTGGAGTCTCCTTCTCTGGAGATCTTCAAAACCCGCTTGGATGCAGTCCTGTGTCACATGCTCTAGGTGACTCTGCGTGTCCAGAGGGGTTGGACTAGATGACCTCTAGAGGTCCCTTCCAACCTTAAGCATTCTATGATTCTATGATAAATTTATCTACACAGCATGTCATCAGAATACATGACTCTGAATGGAGAAGGTCTGAGGAATTGGTCCACCTATATTGCCATATATCCCACATCTTCTTCTGTCGCTTTGTCCTTTCTTCTCCTGCTGCTTAGGCTGTCTTTATAGAGCTCTCTAGCATGCAAACTACTGCGCATAGGGCTTTTTAACTTCAATTTCAAACATGACATGAGATGAGGGCCTCTGTTCTAAAAACATGCAGTCGTCACTGCAAATGTGGTGCTATGCTGCCCACACCTTTCAAAGGGTCCCTGAAAATAATGGGAGATAGGAAGAAAAAGTGAGTTGAAAGAATCAAGAAGAGATTGACAGAGGTACAGAACAGTACATGACAGTAGGTCCATGCAAGTACAAAGAGTCCATGAAAGTCCAAAAAAAGTACAAAGAAAGCTTTTACATGTACGCAGCCATAATTTCTTTCAATGTAATTTAGAAAACGAACAAACAGACTAAGAAAAACATAGAATATTTGAGTAGAAAAGTACTGGAGAGAAATGATAAGGATGAAAACTTGAGAAGATGCATTTGCCTTCCTGGAAATTATTCTCATCCAAACACTGCAATACATTCAGTTTCACATTGGCCTTTATTTCGGTTTGTTTTCCTATCAGGAATGAAACATTGAACTCCTCCAATGGCATTCAATGTTCCACACTGGAGGTGGTTATTGTGCTGTTTCCTGTATTTTCTATACAGTCTTCGCTCAAAAAGAGCCAAAGGCAACTGAAGCATACAAAGATTATGATGAGGTCAGATTACTTTGCTACTGGAATGCTGTGATTTTCTAAACTCCATTTTTTCAATTTTAGCTTAAAAATTATCTTTGCTTTTTTATGTATGTCAATAAACACAAGCTGTCTGTAATAGATTCGCCATGGCAAGAAAGTAAAGGAGCAAATTCTTCTGCTGTTACTGGGAAATGAAATGTAAGTTCTATAGAATCATAAAATCATCAGAATCATAGAATCATGCTAGTTGGAAAAAACCTTCAAGAGCATCGAGTCCAACCATAAACCCCCAAACACCATGCCTGTTAAACCATGTCCCTAAGTGCCTCATCTGCACATTTCTTGATCAGTGGTCAATTAGGTTTTCCTGTTCTATTAAGAACCTCCATTCCCCCAGGTCATCACCCCTGCTAGAGCAAAGGAAAGCGTGTTGATACCTATTGGCCTCTAAGATGGTTGTGGCTTGTTAACCAGATATGATGACACAGTCTCTGATGTCACCGTTGCTGCTGACTCTGCAGAAGATGGTCAGGCTCAGATAATCTCAGTTGTTTGGCTTCCCCCACCTTTCAAGTCAGGCTTCCCCTTTTGGGGTTTCCCACTTGCAATGTGTATGTAAAAGATGTTTGGAAAGGGGAAGTGTCTATGTCAGAAATAGATTGAGGTCTATGAGCATGGAGAGCATTTTCATATTTGCAGCATGCTTGGAGGGTGAAATTCTGCTTGGAGTCCTGGGACACATTCCCTTGGATCTGCAGTTTGGTGCAGCATGGGTCTCCTGTTGGAAACATCACAAATTTTGTGAAAGAGAAATCTTGCATAGAAACCGAGAGTGGCTTCATCTCTCACCCAGCATTGTGTTTAGGCTGGAGGAGTGGATGGCCTTGGATGGTATTTATAAATCATGGTTTACTGGGATATTCATCAGGTGCAGATAACACCTCCACCCCAGAACCCACCTCCACCCCAGAACCCACGTTTTTTTTTTTGAGCCTCATACCATCTCTGTCAGTCTTTTCTACCTGTTACCTCTCCCTGAGTGGTTCCCACCAAATATCTCAGCCTGGCACAGGTGCACACGGTCATGGAAGAAGAAAAATGCTGCCATTTTGCTCCTGTGAGTGTGAACAGGAGTGTGGGAGCACATACCAGGCCGCTCACTAGACAAATGCAGGCCTTCTGGGAAGGGCACCAGGACATGGTTGGTGCGGAGGAGAAGAGCCACGTTGTTCGCTGTGTTGCAGGGACACACTGGGGAAGCTGCGCCAGGTCCATCCTCCCAGAGCAGCCCCTCACATCACCCCTTTCCAGCCCTGGCTCCTCATCCCAGTGGTGCTGTGGGAAATGGCCGTCTCCATTCTCCTACATGTCTCTCCATGCTCACCATGCTCCCAAAGACAGCCTGAGAGCCCTGGACCTGCAGTCAGTACAGTAGTTCTTGCTGTCCCAAAGACGGAGCAGCCTGCCCCGAGCTCATGGCCTGGATGCGGCTTGTGGTCACTAGCAGATCACACAGGCACAATGAACTTGTCCTCTGGAGTCCACTAAGTTCACAGGCAGAGCAGCAGGCCCTTTTATTGATTTGGCTGTATTTTCAACTCCATCTTTTCAAGAAGATGTCAGGTATGTGTCTGAGGAGATCCCCTCGTGTTTTGAAGGTGCCAATTACCTGCTCCTACGAGTACTCACAGGAATGCAATGGAAACAAAACCCAAAAAGCACCACATTGTGATAGATCTTGGGCTGTATACACACACCAGAACACAACAGGAGAGTGTGGAAATGAGAAGAGCTCTGAAAAGAGAAAGTCCTGCTGCTGGAAGGGGAAGTGTCTCCAGGAAAACTACATTCCCCATGTAAAGGTTGCAGCCAGGAAATGCCTGCTGTAGCAATGAGAGGAGGATCTGTGTGCACAAGTTGCATCCAGGCTCTCGTCCCCTACACTCCCACTCCACTGTGAGCACTGGAGAGGGAAAAGACCAGCCCACAGGGACACCAGGTGGGCATGCTCACAGGAATGAGGGTGAGATCACACCCTGACTCTGGCCAAGAGAGCTGTGCTCTCCTAAAGGACATGGGACCCATGCCCTCAGCCCATCTTGACTTGCCAGAGGCCTTGGTGTCACTGCTGAAAGAGACACTGCAAAGGGAAACTCTCTGCACTGGGGACATCTGAGGGAGCTCAGACTAGCAGGTTATGAGGTCCTCACATCTTTGCTGATGAAGGGAAAAGTCTATCTTTCTGTTTCAACCAGATCTCTAGGTAAGATTCAAAGGATTCTTGAGGACAAGTGGCATGAATCAAAACAATTTTTCCTTTAATAGCAATGTAGCAATTGCAATAGCAATGTAACAGAGAAAAGTCAGTAAAAAATGAACAACAGCTTTGATGCTGCTACCCTGGTAATGAGGAGGAGAAGCACATGGGACACTTAAGGGTGCTGACATTGTACCTGATGAAGCAATTTTCTCAGCACAACCTTGAGCTCCTTGTTGCTCAAGCTGTAGATGAGGGGGTTCGCTGCTGGAGGCACCACCACATACAGAACAGCCACCCCAGGATCCAGGGATAGGGAGGAGATGGAGGGGGGCTTGAGGGAGGCAATCATGATGGTGCTGAGAGAAAGGGAGATTATGGCCAGGTGAGAGAGGCACATGGAAAAGGCTTTGTGTTGACCCTGCTCAGAGGGGATCCTCAGCACAGCAGTGAAGATCTGCACGTAGGACAGCACAGCAATAACAAAGCTTCCAAATCCTAAACAAAGGGTAAATATCATAATAGCAGCCTCCCTGAGGTAGGAGTCTGAGTAGGAAAACTTGAGGAGCTGGGAAACTTGACAGAAGAACTGCTCCACAGTATTACCTTTGCAGAGTGGTAGTGAATATGTGTTAGCAGTGTGCAGGAGACCACTGAGGAAACCATTGCCCCAGGCAGCTGCTGCCATTTTCACACAAGCTCTGCTGCTCATGAGGGTCTCATAGTGCAAAGGTCTGCAGATGGCCGCAAAGCGGTCATAGGCCATGACGGTGAGAACATTCTGCTGAAAGCAGGAAAACAAGGAAAAAGACCTGGGCAACACAGCCCAAGTAGGAAAGTGTTCTAGTGTCCCACAGAGAATTGGCCATGGATTTGGGAACAGTAGTGGAGATGGAGCCAACATCCAGGACAGAGAGGTTAAGAAGGAAGAAGTACATGGAGGTGGTAGTCGTAGACTATGGCTGTGATGATGAGGCCATTGCCCAGGAGGGCAAACAGGTAGCTGCGCAAAAACACTGCAGAGTGCAAGAGCTGCAGCTCCCGTGGGTCCACGAATGCCAGGAAGAGGAACTCATTGAAGGAACTGATGTTGGACATTTGCTGTCTTGCAGCACTGAAGGGGACTGTCCAAGGAAGAATAGATGTAGACAAGTTAATACAGACTTCCGTGAGCAGAACTTTCTTGTAACTCCCTTCCCTGCAGCAAACTGTTTATCTCTCCCCATCTCAGAAAAAAAGGTCACTGAGCTCCATGGCTTCAGCTCCATTTTGTGCTGTGTATGCTGAGAGAATATAGAAATCATCTGGATTGCTCCAGCACTCAGTGAACCACTGTGATTCCTAAGAGCAAAAGGACTCTCATGGTGTTAATGCAGAGTGAGGAGAGCTCCTTGTCCATCCACCTTGTTCACAGCTGCCCTCTGCTTTCACCTCTGAGGCACAAGACCTCTGCACATGTTATCCCAGAAAGAAATGACACTACAGAGGAATCGAGTACCAAAGCGCACATCAGTAAACTCTGCCACTGTCCTCAGATGATCTCAGGATCTGTAGGGTGGGTGTCTGAACTGCATCTAAAGCCCACCCTGGCCAGACAGTCCCAGGGCAAGAACAGGAGCAGCATGGACAAGTGGGAAACACAGAGCAATACCATGATATTTCTGCTGAAGGAGGAAGGGACAGGGAGAGACATAGGGCGCTGAGAAGCTTGAGATCCTTTTCAAATGGCGAATGGCCCTGCCCTGCATGGGGTCTCTCCTTCCACCCAGAGCTTCTCCCTGCAGTCCCCAGGCAGGCTGAGTGTTGACCCCTGCAGGCAGCAGAGTCACTGTCCCAGGCACACAGCACCCTGGGGTGGCAGGGACACTCTGATAGTGTGGCAAGGAATCCAACGTGGATAATGAAGCTCTGAACCACTTGCAAGTCGGCGCCTCAGAAGCTCTAGCCACTGGGAAGTGGGAGCCTAGCTGTCGAGGACCCTGGGAGGATCCATGACTAAGGAGCAGGAAAGGGTGTTGCAGGTTCTGAATCACATTTTAGATAAGTCTGGAAAAGAGAAGGACATTCAGTCAGGGGACCTGACCTGGCTTTTAAAATGGGGTTTGGAAAATTGTAATGCTTTAAGTGAGGCAACAATGTCTGACCTCAGAGCCTGGGATAGTTTTGGAGTAGTGCTGTGGGACTGGGCACCTTGCGGGGACCCGACTGCGTCTTTCTTATTGGGACCATGGTGAATTATCTATGAGGCTCTAAGGAGGTATTTAGGGACCTCAGCCACCGGGATTGATGCAACAGCGCCCCTGCCATCGCTCAGGGAGGGGAAACCTGTGCCGCTGTGGCTCGAGGATTGCTATCCCTGGGTGGAAACCTAGAGGGAGCCAGGTTTCCACTCCCCACCTCCTGATTATCTGAAGGGGATGGTAGTAGCCAACCCCGTAGATCAAGGCCCTGTGACATCCTGTTCCTCAGGAGAAAGGACCGAGAAACCCTGGGCCAGGGTGGGAGGCACTTCATGCTCGGGATCTGCATGTGAGCAAGGTTGTGAGGTCCAGTCTCTGTATTATTTGACACAAATACACGACAACAAGAAGCTCATAGAATTTGTCCAGAATTAGGTGTGGACTTAATGATCCTGCAGGGAACCAGGCAAGCGATCGGCTTGATTGGACAGCACGGGAAGCAACCAACAGAACCTGTAAGAATGCTGGAATGGGTGTTCCTGCCACATTCTGCACCAAGGACCATCGTCACCCATGTCAAAATGCTAGCTCAGGTCACTGGAAAAGGCCGCCTGAGAACCATTCAGCTTACGGGTGCAGAACCAAGGCAAATCCTTATTCCATCTACACGGGAAATATTGAACTGGCTGATGCAGCACAGTGTGGTATTCCAAGCTGCCTTAGCCGACTATCCTGGCAAACTCAATGTCCGCTTGCCTCGTCACCCACTTTTTGCTTTAATGAATGTCACGGACCTGATAGAAGGGACCTTGTTCAGCCTGGTTCCAATAGCGGATGCCCTGACCATGTTTTCAGATGGGTCAGGATCCACCAGAAAGGCAGCAGTGGTCTGAAAGATGAGGAACGGAGATTGGACAGAATATGTAGAAGTAGTGGAAGGATCTCCGCATGTGGTGGAATTGGCTGCAGTGATGTGGGCGTTCGAGAACTTCAAAGAAGAACTGAATGTGATAATTGACTCGGCCTACGTAGCAGGGGTGGTAGCTTGATAGAGCAAGTCCACTTAAAGGAGATCACAAATCTTCATCTCTGCCCTTTTGCAACAATTGCTGAGGGCGCTGGAAGAGTGAGTGAAGCCGTATTTCATGACCCATATCCAATCATCGCACACGACGGGTTCTATAGCAGAAGCAAATCGCGTAGCCAACTGACTGACAGTTGCTGCTGTCCTGCCCAACTTAGTGAAACAAGGAGAACTGTCACACCAGTTCTTTCACCAGAACGTTTGTACATTGAAGCACATGTTTGGACTAACCATGAATCAGGCACGGGACCTCCATCAGCCTGCCCTGATTGCCAAATGCAGCAGACCCCACCTGTGGTGAGGGCAAACCCATGACGGTGACAATCAGATCAGTTATGGCAGATGTTTGTAACACATATACCAGAGTTAGGAAGGCTGAAATACGTCCGTGTGTCTGTGGACACCTTCTCGGGAGTAATAGTCGCTACTGCTCATTGCGGGGAAGGTGTGAAAGATGTAAAGAGACATTTATTAAGTGCTTTTGCGATGCTTGGGGTACCAACTCAGACAAAAACCGATAATGGGGCAGCATAATGGGGATAGCTCTTGCGCACTATCTGCATTCTTACAGACCTGGGGGGTCCGACACATTGCGGGAATCCCGCATTCCCTCACTGTGGGAAACTGAGAAACTGTGAGAAATTGTGGGAAGCTGTGGGAATGGTGAAAGTTAGGAGTGAGAAACTGTGAAAGTTAAGAATAACAGATTAGCAGATAGAGAAACTTAAAACACAGGCCAGGCACACTGATCTCTGGGTGGCTACCTGTTGTCCGTTAGCAGGATTGGGCCCAGATAGCAATAGAGTCAAGGAATTGGCTGGAGGCAGGGGGAGGGAGCGCGTGGACAGTGCATGCTCACATACTCGGAGAATATATAAGTTTGGTTTGATGTTCAATAAAATGGATTCTGGTCCCAAACCTTAAGCCCCTGCTCCTTCAATGATTCCCACACTCCACAGGCCAAGCTATAGTAGAACATGCTCATGGTTCTCTGAAAAGAATGCTGGAAAAACAAAAAAAAGGGGGAGTGAAGGGTACACTCCTCAGGATCGGTTGAATAAGGCATTGCATGTATTGAATTTTCTGAATCAGGAAGAACATGGGGCTGTCCCAATAGAGCGGTACTACCAAACAGGGAAGGGATCAGAAAGTGAGGGGCAGAAGAAAGTAATGTATAAAGATTTGCTTACGCAAAAGTGGGAAGGCCCAGTACCTCTAATAACCTTGGGACGAGGGTATGCTTGTATTCACGATGCAGAGCAAGCTGGTTAGGTGCCAGCACAATGGATAAAACCAGCACTCTCGGCATTGCTGGCTGTGGACAAAGAAGAGGATCACAAGGAGGAATTCCAAAAGCCATCAGCGGACTCATCCTCTATGGACTTGTCACCATCAGAATTACTGTAGCAGTGCCAGCTCCTCCGAGACTGCCAGAGCATAATGTTTGGGTGACCTTAGCAAAGGCTTTAAATCAAAACACACTCTGCCTAGCAACTAGTACACAGGAAGACCCTTTCAGCACTTGCCTCGCAGGGGTTCCCACAAGTATGGGGGAATGGAGGATGACTGAAATAGCCCATAATTATAGTGAACTGATTGACAAACAAAAGGGCGAGATGATTTTAGGTGCACCACATTCATTTTGGCAGAAGAACACAGATGAGAGGTGGGCTTGGGCCAAGAATCTGAGTTGAATTTACAACAAATTTCCTAAATCCCCGTTATACGGTCCCGTACAGAGCCGACCAGAATAGAATATGAGCGGAATCAGGTTAGTTAACACCACCTCAGAAATTTATCATAATACCACATATTGGTGCAATCAAACTGCAGAGAATGCCACCCTGTCGTTTCACGCCAGGGGTGTCTGCTGCAGCAGCACACGAAAGGTTGGAAAAGTTGGGATGTTGGATGTTAAAGCAAACTAAATGTGACCGCTTTAGCTCTCTCAGAGCATTTGCTTTAGTGGTTGTGCTTGCTTTTGTAGTGATAGTAGTATGCCTACCATGCCTATTACGTTTGGTTCGATCCACAATAAATGCGGCACTGGATGCAGCTTTAAAGAAAAACGTTAACTTCATGCTGATGGATTGGAGACATCAACGGGTATGCCAGACAATCAGAAGCCACTTTGGCCTGAAAGACTCTGTCAGCCTTTATCCAGGCCTTGGGAACATTGCTTCTCCTCCTGGTATACCTCTTGGGCAAGAAAACAAAAAAAGAGGAGATGTTGGGGTCAGCCTGGGCCTGGTGATGGTGAATGTCTCCTCGGCAGATGGAGGGGCTGAGCAGGAGAAACCGCAGCTGCAGTCACATGGCTAGCACATGATCAGGAAGTTTGCATCAACCTTGTGCATGGTTGGTGCGTGATCACCTGGCTGATTGGTTGGTCGGGTTGCTGGGCTTTGCGTGCTGCCGGGCAAGGCAGGGGGCGCTCCAAGATCAGAAGGTATATAAGTTGTGTTTAACCCTAAATAAAGGGCTTTGTTCACCATCTCCGGG